GTCACAAAAAAAGCACTGGTTGTATCCGCCCCTCCCCCATCCAGCTGAGCCGCATGCTACTTTTCCGCCCCCTCCTGCTGGCCCAGCTAAGCTGTACCCCGTGGCGCGATTGCTCTCGGGGCCGGGGGCTGTACCGGGGAAAGCAACGCAGCAAGAATGCTCACAAAAAAAGGTGCTGGTATGCTGTACCAGTGCATACTGTCACAAAAAAAGCACTGGTTGTAGCTGTGGTATGCAGTGTCTTATGCAAAGTGTCATGTGCAGACTTGATGTCTGTGCATCACAGATAACAAACAGAACACATAATGAAAGCAGTTCCCTGAGTTTTGGTCCATTGTGGTAGGGTATATAGTATGAAGAGAACCTGATATATAAGCCCTTGCATCAGAGGCCTGGTATGAGGCAAGACCTTCTCACAGAATCTGGCAAGAAGGGGACTGATACTACAGAGATACACATAACCTAAGAAGTGTTAAGTACAGAGTACTCATGCTAATACATCCCAATATCAAGTGGTATCAGAATATCCCAATATCAAGAACGGTACAAAAATATTCCCCTCCGGAATAATAGAATCACACTGCTCTCAAATAAGGTCAGGATGATGGTGTGTAATTTATTTATATCAGTGTATAAATACATATTTCAGAGAGAGTATATTTGTCCAGTCTAGAAAGCAGTGGACAGCCCTACCACTGTCTGAGCTATTGCCACTGTCACAGACACACGTCTTACTGTCTTCTTAGGGTATGTCTAGACTACATGCCTCTGGTGACAGGCATGTAGATTAGACTACCCGGCATACGAAAATGAAGCGGCGATTTAAATAATCGCCGCTTCATTTAAATTTACATGGCTGCCGCTCCAGTCTAGAAAGCAGTGGACAGCCCTACCACTGTCTGAGCTATTGCCACTGTCACAGACACACGTCTTACTGTCTTCTTAGGGTATGTCTAGACTACATGCCTCTGGTGACAGGCATGTAGATTAGACTACCCGGCATACGAAAATGAAGCGGCGATTTAAATAATCGCCGCTTCATTTAAATTTACATGGCTGCCGCGCTGAGCCGATCAGCTGTTTGTCGGCTCAGCACGGTAGTCTGGACGCTCCGCGGTCGACATCAAAGGCATT